TTGTTGTTATTGTTGTTGTTATTGTTGTTGTTATTGTTTTTGTTATTGTGATAACAAATGATGCAATTTAAAATCATTTTATTACCATGGAAATATTCAAACTTGCAGTGACGAGTAATTAGAAGAAAAAAAAAATTGATTTATTGCATGAATGAAGCTTATCACTAATTTTACCTGTTTGATAAAACATAGGTATGATCTATTTGGATAATTATACGCTCATTCTTTAATTTTTTTTGATCTTTTCATTAACCTGATGGAAAGACAAATAGTCGATTTATGATTTTTCAAGAATTTAATATCATTCACATTTATCATACAATGCATAAAAATATTTGGATTCAATAATGTATGAAGTGTGAAAGTTCATTTCTGCTTTTACGCGAAAATCATTTGAAAATGATCGTATGCTTTTAGAGTCGAATCGGAATCTTCTCCAATCATTCCATATAAAGATGATCCAACCATTCCTGCACCATTAATCGGTTGTTGAGGATATTGCGGTGATAGCTGAGCAATTTGTTGGTATTGCGGTGGTGGTTGTTGGTATTGTGGTAGTGGTTGCTGGTATTGTGGTAGTGATTGCTGGTATTGTGGTAGTGGCGGTTGAATAATTTGTTGGTATTGCGGTGGTAATGGTAGATGAACAGTTTGTAGATATTGCGGATATTGCGGGATTTGTGAATATTGCAGTGGAGGCATTGGTGTTTGCTGTTGATACATAGATGGACACCACCAAGTTTTAGCTTGGAATGGATATGACATTACTGGTACTGCTGCTGATGGTGATTGTTCCGGTGCTTTTCCTGAAGGTGCTGATGTTGATGTTTGTGTTGCTTCTGGTACCGCTGGTGCTCTTGGCATCTGTGATGGTGGGAAGCAGAATGGAGGAGGTATTGGTGGACCGATCCACATCTTTCCTTTACCATTTAATTGTTCAAATGTGACACCTGCTAATAATTTATTTTGTACACCTCAAAAATGAACGTATAATTTTTCATTTTAGCTCAAAAACTTCTACATTTTTATTTTTAAAAAAAAATTGTTTTCATAAAATTTCAAAAATTTAAAAAAAATTGTTATGTTGATTAACTTTTTGCTGTTTTTTTACAATTAATAGCAAAAATTTTTCTTTGCATAGAATTTTACTTAATAATTCTGGAAAATTTTGAACAATTATTTTTGTTTGATACTTTTAAATGAATTATATCAATTAGATATGCTCATTTTAATTAGCCATAATCATTTTTTTTTTTTACCTGGTAAAGTTTTGATAAGACTTTGTGTTACTTCTGGGAGAAGTATGAAAAAAATCCATTTTAATGAATAATAATCCATTATTGCTTGCGTAATTTGATTGAACAGGATTAAACCAGTAAATTAGATTGTTTACTTTTGCTATAAGTTGATGATAATCTTCAAAAATAAAACAATAACAATTTTCATCATATCAATTAAGTAAACATTATAATGATTATTTTCATAATTACAATCAAATAAGAAAAAAAAAATTCACTCTTACAGAAATTATACATGGCACATATGCATATTACAGTATTCAAAGAGGACGGACGACATGTAATCAATTTCTTTTTACAGGTTTAGTAAAAAATAAAATAAATTATTAAACAATTTCTTGCTGAAAAAAAATCCTCACTAACATTTATAATCGATAATGATACAAAATCTTTCAATGACTTTTTAATAATTCCACGATTATCTCCTAATTTCACTACTTTGTTCATCTGTTTACTTCATTAAGCCATCTTCCCATTAGCCTAATTTCTTATACTATATCATGGCATATATATATATATATATATATATACGTACAAACGCCAAAAACGATGCTTTAAATCATCATTTTTCCCTCTAATATTTCTTTTTCTGGCTAAAACAATAGACCCTTTAAATATGGCCATTATATAATGGAAATATTTAAAAATTGCTTAAGCATTTGATAAATTGGATTTTAGAACGATTTGGATAAGTAAAATATGCCTTATTAAATTATTAGCAAAATAAATAAAGAAAGCTAAATTTGAATACCAAAGTTTTATGGAATGGGAGGAAAAATTTTTTCCAGTTATGATGAATTTTAGGGCAAATGAAATTTTCTCCGCTTTTTATTTGAATGTGAAAAAAAAAAAATGAAATGAAAAGTAAATGTTATACCATTTCTCATTCATAATGAAGGAATTTTATGAGACAAAAGTGAAAAACGCAAAAAAACCTTTACTTTCATAAAATAAAATGGGAAATTTTTTGAATTTAATCGAAATAATTAGAAATATTTTTGAAAACAAAATCATTTATTATTTCTGTGAAATATTTTCCAAGAAATGAGTTCCACTTATAATTAAAGTTACTTATAGAAAGAACGCTGAATAAGTAAACTTTTGTATAAAGTTTCATTTTCGGATCATTTAATTAACATAATTAATTTAAGAAATTAATGGAAAACAAAATTTTACTGAATGAAAATGATAAGATAATAAATAAGAAATGTAAGATCAGTAAATCGACATGGTATCCTTCCAAATACAACTTGCTATTTGATGTAATTATTTATATTATGTTGTCGGATTACTTTCCTTTTTCTTTGTTTTTGTTTTGAAATTAAAAATAAAAAACGCGATTGAACTGGTAATACAATTGATCTGGGAAGAAGTAAGTGATTTAAAATTAACAACTCTTTAGTCATAATTGACTGGAAAGTGATATTTATGAAAATATTTAAAGAATTATTTCAAATTTAGCTTGAAAATATATCGTTGATAAATTGAACTATGTAAACCGAATTAAAATATATTAGTGATATTTGATCTGTACAAATTAAAATAAAAAAAATAAGGAACCAACGAACGCAGAATAGTAGATTTCCTAACTACCTTATTATTTTCACCTTACTAATTTTAGCCGGAAGAATGGATGAAGTGATTATCAATAGCCAAACATCTCATCCGTGATCTCTTTTCATGTTTTCGAGCATTTCCCTTAGCTTCAAAATTATACTTTACCTCAAATCTCTTTTTAATCCAGAACAAATCTTTTGGCATCATTGGCTCAGTTACTTGAATAAGTTTAAATGAATTATCCCTCCCCCATGAATTTCATGATTCTCTTCTGACAAATTCCGAACTATTTTTCCAAAAATGATAATTGGACTGTTTTTTTCTTTTTAGTTTGTTTCATCTCTTTCCAGAAGCACATCAATGGATACATTATTGCATGAATGAATTCCAGCGTGTTTAATTTCAAAAAAAAAAAAAAATGCAGAAAAGCACAATTTTAAAAAATTGTTTTTTTTCCTCTCCTTTTACTAACAAACAAATGCTTTAAATAAACAGTTTCAAATATTCATTGCAAACACATAAAGCAGTTAATTCAGGAATGTACGGAATTCAAGATTAGTGAAAAGGTGCACAATACATTACTGAGGCACCGGTTACACAGTGAAGGGTATTTTTGAAATGATGTTGATAATGTACAGCGTATGTGTGTGCGTATATGCG